TCGGGATTGAGTCCCCCTAGCCCCTTAGTTAGGTTCAATTGCAATTGCCTGGGTTGATTTACTGTTGATTAGACTGCGGAAGATCCGACAGTAGCTTGGAATCTCTTAAGCTGACCAAGCCCTCTCAGTCTAACTACCCGGCAGACGACTAGTCTTCACCGGGATAGAAAGCTGAGGCTATGAACACAGAACTCCACTACTGGCGCCAAGAACACCAGTACAAAGCAGTCAACTGGCTAACTCTCGTATAGCCAATCTCCTACTATCGAATGAAGAGGCTCTAACAACCTAATCAGATTCTATCTTTCTCAGGTTGAAGCAGAAATTGAGAAAAGCTGATCAGACTCAAATCAATTCATTAAACATGCGTCATTCGATTAAAATCAAACAGTAATATCATCCCTAGTCATTACAATCAAATCCCTAACACAAGGAACTAGGGTTCTTCATACCCAAGTGAGAGAAGGGTTCTACTCCATAGAGAGAGAAGAGAAAACAAGAATCGGATTAGTCATACTCATAACGATGAGGATAATCTGCTCCGGGACGATGATTTCCACTCCTATGACGATCTCCAGGCTCGATTCGATGAAATCCAGCTCTAAGACAGCTTCTAGGATGTGTTCTTCGCACTTTCTCTCTCTAGGGCTCTGTTTTTGCTCTGAAAACACGATTTCCTCACTTTTGGCTCGAATTAGGCTTTAAAACCGACTTTCCCGAGTTGCACGGCCAGGTGCACGGTCGTGCACAACACCATTCTGGCCGTGCACCCTCAAAACGCACCGTATCAATTATTCGGCCTTCATCCACCTTGCACGGCCAGGCGCACGGCCGTGAAATCTTCAGGGTCTGGCCGTGCATGGCCTCGACATGAGGTGCACGGCCAAATGGCTCAAGTGCACGGCCGTGCAGCCTCCTGGTCTGCCCGTGCACTCCCCAAAAAGCTCGCCCTTCGTCCGTTCTTCGTCCAATCGACCCCAGACTCGCTCCTAAGCCTTCATTCACGTACTAGGTCCTGAAATAACACAAACAAGCACAACCTAGCGTGAAATCGGCCTAAAACACGAGAATCAACACCTCAAACGGTGTAATAATGAGGGTAAAAACATGTGTAAATGACGGTCTATCAGAGCCACCACCAAAAATCTGAATAGTGCCCATTAAGTAGTGTTTCTTAGCAGTCTGGCTTGGAAATGCTAACGTTTATATAACCTCCTTCGCTCTTGTGCTCTAAAGAATGTGAGTAATGCAGAATGGCAGAAAGAAAGTAAGTGGTTTGATTGGCTGTGATTGTGTTGGGTAGGAATTGTGGAACCTTGTGCTATGAATACTTCCACCACCTAAAAGGCCTTTTTCCCATGTCCAAGACCCTAGCCAGTCATTTGAACCTGTGTCTAAGACCTCCGGATTAGTTAGTGGTGACACCCCATATGTGAACTCTAGCATTTAGAGGCAGCATTCATGGTGAAGAGACGTTAGGGATTGAGAGAATAAGCATGCGCATTTTTCGCATCAAATTGTCCTGACCCCACTGGTCGAGAGTGAGCGATTCATTTTCTCATATTCTCTATACTCTTTATCCCGGTGAGGACCTAGATTGCTCGGTCTCAATTCTGATATCTTGAGCTTTGTGCATGAAGTGACTGTCTTGAATAAGTGGTTGAGTCAAGTCTATGTTGGTTGGTGAACAGAAGGGAGACTCTTCCTTTGCTCGACTTTGCTGCACTCGAATGTCATCTGTGGTGGTTGTCTAGGTTGTCGTTGAGGTTGTCCATGTGTTAATGATCAAAAGCCAGTATGATTCACGTATTTTGTGCCGATATGATATATCCCTAAAGCCTGCTTGATTAAAACATTTTGAGCTTACCTTGTATCTGACTTGGTTTGCTTGGGGACAAGCAAACAGTTAAGTGTGGGGGGATTTGATGACTCGATATTTGCACATGTTTTCCCCTTTGTTTCTTGATCGTTTAAGCTTGCATTATCGCTTCTTTGGCCTATTCTATGCTAGGTTGTGTTCCTTTGTCACATTTTAGGTCCTAGCACATAAAGTGAAGCATAGGCGCAAGTTTCAAGTCAATCAGAGATCAATTGGCGATTCGGGAGAAGAAACTCGGGCATGACCTGAAGAAGAATGGATTTCTACCTCACTTTATGGACAAAGAATCATGCAAGCTTGTCATTAAAAGAAAGAGGACGAGACTACGAGCGTCTGGGATCAAACGGCGACTGATTCGGAGTCCGGACGAGGGAGAAACGAAGCATTGAATATAGGGGAACAGGTTCGGCAGTAAAAACACGGGCGCGCCTAAATCAAAACACGGCCGTGCCCATATTTAGGCACGAACGTGTTTTGGACGACGCGCCCGAGCGTGTTTTTAACACGGGGCAAAACACGGGCGGGCAAAAGCAAAACACGGCTGTGCCCTCGACCGTGTTTTGCCCAGAATCGAGTTTTTTAACCCAAATTCGAGCCAAAGGAGAGGGAGAGCTGGGTTTTGGATCCCAAACACCCAAGGGACGAACCCTAGAGAGAGAGAGCGACTTGGGAACATTCTTGGAGCTATTTTGGAGGATTTCTTCGCCATTAGAGCTCGGGAATCAAGCTTGGAGATGGAGATTGAAGATCTAGATCAGATTTCTGCAGTCTCTCTCTTCTCTATGGAGTAACTTCCCTTCACTTAGGTTTTCCCTATCTATGTTTGTCTGATTGGATGATTGTATGAGTACTCTGACTTGATAATCTTGAGTTCATATTCAATCTATACATGTTTTCATGATTCAATTCTGCTTTAGTCGAGATTATTGATTCTGCTTTGATCCTATGAGAGCGAATACCTGATTAGGTCAATAGAGCACCATAGATTGATAATAGTGGATCGATTGCTTTAGTCGAGGGTTGATTCACTGCTTTGTATCGATTGAGAACCTCATTCGATAGAGGGAGTCTAGTTCAGAACGCCTTGATCGATTGTTCTAGAGAAGGATACGTCCCTCTAGGCAATTGACTCAAGAGGGCCTTGTTCCTTTAGTCGAGACTCAAGGTCTAGTCAAGGATTCTCCGCATTGTGAATGAAAGTGAAACAAGTTAGAGATCATCAATCGTTAATCTGGCTAGTGGCTAGGGGGAATCATACCTAAGTGAGTTCCCAACCTGTAATTAGATTAACTTTAACTGTAGTTTGCTAGAGTAGTTTTAGTTCTTTCATCTTAATCTGTTTTGCTAGATAATGAATTGAAGCTGAGTAATAGTAACTCTAGAGACCCGTGGATTCGATATTTATTACTTGTGCCACTATGCTGCAGTCCCTTTCATTGGTTACACTTGGCCATTGTTAGGAGTTGTGTTTTAGCGAGTCAGCCGACTGTGTAGAGACTAGAGAATCTTGTTGACAAAATTTAAAAGTAGTATTTTCGAGAAGAAGTAATATAAACAAAGTTACAAAACTAATTGCAAATCGTAGAAAAATCACAAACTTCCTCTACTTCCTCATTAATTATCATGCTTCGTCATATCATTTTGTATCGACAAATTTTTCTACATAAGGAATTATGAAATGTAGATCTCCATTAAATCTATCAAACAACATAGATCTTAAATCTCAATGTCACAAAATAAGGATTCATCAAATTGAAGTACATCCTCCTTAAATTTGAACCCCTAAGACTAGGCTATAATACTTCTTTTTTAAAACCGAGCAGTTCCAATTACTATAATATTAACTATCATTAGTTAAACAAATGATATCGAATATGTACAATTTTCAAATCACTATAAATACACTTTCATTTGAAGGTACGTTCTTTTTTCTATGATTCGAATCATTGAAATCAAAGACAGTTTAGAAATAAGTGAATATTACTGATCACTTTCATCATAAATTAAGATTACTATAAAGTTAAAAAAAAACTAACAAAATTGGGGCTATTGTGGGAAGCAAGAACACGACATAAAAAGAAGGGCAATGTCTATTTTTTACCCAAATCTTTTCCATATTCTTTTGTTTTAACCAAACCTATTGAATTCCTAAAAATTATCCCGTCAACTTTTCTGTTAGTAATGTTGACAAAGTATGACCATAATGAGTTGACTTCCTACGTGGCAGTCAGAATATCATCATTTACTATTTTAATAAAAAGATTATCAAAAAATTAATAATAAAAAAACAAAACAGAATCCCACCCCTAACGCCTTCTACCCTCCCCTCTTACCACTTCCCCTCCGCCTCTCACTCCTCTCCACTCCTCCGATCTCTTTCTTCACAACCCTCTCTAGTGGCGGCAAACCCTCCACCCACCCTCTTCCTCACCGATTTGCCCGTCGCCGCTGTTGCTGGGGCATACTGGTAAACCCCTCGTTGTCGTTGTCGGAATCGAAAGCCCAATCATAGAAGGTTATCGGCCCCTCTTCATATTCCTCCAATCCTCCTGCACTAGCACCAGCGTCAAAGTCAGTCCAAGCAATCCTCCCGATCTATGCTACCTTCCAGCGCCCAACCCCTCATTGAACTCGATTCCCCAAAACCCCTATTCTGAATTTTTGCTCTTCGATTCATAGATCTAGATTTCCAGATTCGATGACGGGCAATGGCGTCGATGTCCTTCTTAGTTTGGATGTCGGGCTTGGACGGCGACGGGCGAGGGCGACGGCGTGTGGGGTTGGGCGATGGGGATTGGTTTAATGGGAATAGGTTTGGTGGTATGGAGATAGAGGCGAAGACGGAGAATACAGGAAGAAGATGGAGTTGCAGAGCCAATGAATTTTTTTTAATTTCTAATTAGTTTTTTTAGTGATATGAGAAAAATAAATTAATATTGTTTTTCATATCTGAGGTGGACGCTGACGTGGATGCTTATGTGGACGAAATAAGTAACGATAACAGAATGAATGCCCAAAATTTGATAAGTTATAATACGTTTGGATAATAAATAGAATTTCTATAAGTTTGGTTAAAATAAAAGAATCTAAAAAAGATTTAGATAAAAAATACACATCGCCCTAAAAAGAATACTGAATAGTAAGTTTTCATTACTCCATTTCCAAACTTACTGCACTGATCCACCATAAATGGTTAATTACATATCTGGTAAGCACAAAACAAACGAAAAAGCAAACGAACTTTTCCTGCACCAGCTGCCTGCCTGCAGTGCCTCTGTCTGTCTCATTTCCCTTCCCAGCTCAATCTCAATTCTCAACAGAAAAGCAAAAAGTAATAAATTTGTTAAAAATGGAAAACCCCTATTCTTTCACGCCTTCCCAAACACCACCCAATCCTTATCCGTATAACCAAAACAGCACCCTACAAAATACAAATTACAACTACTCAATAATTTCCTTCCCCACCCCCAGTCCCCACTATTCTTCCAGCAAATACCCACCCCCTAATTTAAATCAATCTCCCATTTGCCCCCAAATTTATCATAACCTACAAACTAAGTCCTCCTTCCTCCGATTGGGCAGCTTCTGTATCACTGTACCAGTAGTACCACTACCAGGGTTTCTCCTTTTTTTTTCTCCTTAAAAAAAAAGAAAACCCAATTAATTAAAATTAGAAAAAGGTCTATCTTAGTCTTACCCTACACCATCCCGTACCCTATCCCAGCTCCTCCGGACTCTCTAGACGGTCGCGCGATGGGACCCGCCGGCGACCTGAACCCGACCGTAACCGGATCATGTACACACCAGTGGAACTCCGGCTCGCCACCTCTCGAACACTCTCCGCACACCACGCCTTCGCTCTCCGGCGATCTCTCCCCGGAATCCAAGCTCAGCGATTCCAGGCCCTGACCGGAGGAGACAAATCCCATGTTCATCAAGTACCTCTCCTTCTCCACCTGCAGCTCCCTCACCCGCCTCTCGTACCCGGCCAGGCCCAACTCCAGCTCCGAAGCAAACCCGTAACCGCCGCCGCCTCGCCTCAGTAGCATCACGTTCCCCGGCGGCGGATCGAACCGGTGGTGGCTCTCCGCTGTTTTCCGTACCGCCGCCGCCGCAGGGCTCCTCCGCCTCCGCTCGCGCCTGGATCGCTTCAGGAGCACCAGGAAGAAATACCCCTTGTTCCGCGTGATCGCGGAGAAGTTCGTCTTCCCGGTGACCGGGATTTGGAACCCGCGGCGGTGCCTGTCGGCCACGTGGACGGAGAATTGGTTGGGCGAGAGGCCGATTCTGTCGCTGATGATCGATTGGAAGGCCTTAAAATTCATGGAAGGGAGGAGGACCACCCGGCCGACGTTGATCTCCTGCTCCCCGTCGAAGAGAACCACCGGGAATGAAAGCTCCGACACCAGCGCCGCCGCCGCGATCGCCTCTTCCTCGTCCGCCATGGCGAAATCTAGCATTTTCTTCTTAAATTGAAGGGGGAAACACCAGCAAGGGTGTGGGGATTCGGGAATTCGCTAACTTGGGCTAAAAGCTCTCCAGGAGCGGAAACCCGAGAAACGAGGTTTATATATATCCATGGCGGGTTTTGAAGCTAACTCTGGACAGTGGTGAAAGAAAGGGGAAGGCGGTGAGGTCATTTTCGGGATAAAGTGGGAAAATGTTAACGGCGTTAGAGAGAGAGTTAGCTGGGAGCGGAGTATTTAGATTTCAGAGAGACGGAGTATATAACCGCGGGTGACGCCAGGCTTGGGGGCCAAGGAAGCGAAACGACCCGGGATGAGGTCGTGTGAAGCTCTGAGAAGCTCCCAGGTCTATCTCGTCGGCGAGGGACGAGACTGCCCTTGGAAACCGGTCAAATTCTACAGGGTGCCACTGCTTATCTGCAAGAAGAGCAGCAGCAAGCCTTCGTCTTCTTCTTCCAGCTCCAGACATGGCTTCTCTGCCTCGGTTTCGATATCAGTGGAGAAAGCAGATGGTGCGGCGACCGCATTCTCCATGGAAAGCCCGCCTCGTGGGTATCGGAAAAACGTTGGGATTTGTCTCCTCAATCCCACTTCTAAAATGGTTCGAATTCGACTCAAATGCCTTGAAATGATGTTTCCTTTTTAGGGGGTCTTCAATGTTACCTTTTCTCTTTCAGTTTAGTAATGGTGGTTGGTTTCCATTCCTCATTTGGATTTAGGTTTTCGTGGCGTCGAGGATAAACATCCCGGATTCTTGGCAAATGCCTCAGGTAAAAATAACATCCAGTTGAAGTTTAGGTCATGGCGTTTGGTCCGGGCTACCGCCATTTCTATTTTGTGGGATTTTCAATCAACCCAAAATTGGTTTGTTAGGACTATCTGGAATTAACCGTGGATGTAAAAGTGTTTGAATTTCTCAATTCTAACAAACTCTGTATGGTGCTGTTGCTCAACAATGGCGTCTGTTAGGGAGGTCCTGAGGCGGGAGAAGATCTCCGGAGTGCGGCGATGAGAGAGTTGAGGGAGGAAACAGGAGTTACTTCAGCTGAGTTTCTTGCTGAGGTTAGATGGCAATGTTTCTTTCTGGTTTTACATATGACGTTGTTTTGTATTGCTGGCTGCTGTGGGTTCTCATGAAGAGCCTGGGGATTTTGTTGCAGGCACCCTACTGGCTGATTTATGATTTCCCACTTCCAATTAGAGACAGGCTTAATCGGAGATGGGGCACAAACTATAGGGGTCAAGCTCAAAAGTGGTGAGTTTTACAGTTTAACACAAAAGAACTATTAGCTTTCGATGATATAATGGCAATGGTATCCAAACAGTTGTTAAACTTAAACACGAGAATGGTCACTTTGCTTCTTTCTAGCTCTGTAGGACATAGAGTACTTGCTGATAGAGACCTTCCGATTTGCACTTGACCTTGATGGACACTAGAAATTGTTTACTGTTTTCGTGATATCTTTATCGTGCTCGGAACAGAAAATTTTCAGTATTCATCTCCTGTTGAAATGAAAGTTGGGGTTAATAGGAATGCGAGTCTTGGTCGATGACACGGTCTGATTGGTCTTCTCTATTTTGTAGTGATGAATAGGTTATTTCCGTTAGCAACTTTTTACTTCTCATAATGAACTTTTTGTTGTATGGGGAAAACAGGTTTCTTTTCAAGTTTACTGGAAAGGACGAAGAGATTAACCTTTTGGGTGATGGATCTGAAAAGCCAGAATTCAAGCACTGGACATGGATGCCACCAGAGCGAGTCGTTGAACTTGTGAGTTAACGTAATCCGCATCATCATCATTATCAAGAAAGCTTCTCCCTTTTGGCTACCGTTATGAATTACTGCTTATGCACGTAAAATAGAGCAACTTTCATCAATGTATTCATGTACTTGTCTCGATTTGTTAAAACAGGCTGTGGATTTCAAGAAGCCAGTGTATCAGGAAGTTATGGAGTTGTTTAGTCCATTCCTCCAGGAAGATTATACTGATGCAGAACTGCAAGATGAGTCTAATTCCAGACTCCATATGGAGCAGTCTGAAGTAAAAACTAGAGAAGAATTAGGAGTGGGAGGAGGTGCCGTCATCTCCAGCATTTGTTGCACCCGGCTGTGAATGTTGTCATCCACTGAACATGGATGTTTAGAGAGAATCTAATAGAAAGAAACCAGTAGCAATTCATTGTTCTAGTCCGCTTCTCGAGTTGGGAACTTTTTTTTTTTTTTTTTTGATCGGGAGTTGGGAACTTTCAGAGGATAAAAAAAGACAACTTCCTGAAATGTGACCTTTTTTTAAACTACAAACAATCATTCTGATGCGGGACCTTTCTTCATGGGAACATGGAGTTATTTATGAATTGATGAATGCTGCAGTACCCAAAGCATCCTACAACGGAACTTTCTTCTTCTCTTTGAAACACTGACGTTTCCATTCTTCTTATCCTTTGCTCATTTAAAGCACTCTCTCTTCAATGCGGGTAGTCCTAAATATAAATATGATTGTGCTCTGCAACTCTTTCTCAGAAGATATGTAGATAGATTGCTTCTGTTCATCACTTTGCCTACATTTTATTCTCCCACATTTGCTCACAGCAGCCTCGGCAGCGACTGGATTATACATGGAAAGCCCACCTCATGGGTATCGGAAAAACGTCGGGATTTGTCTCATTAATCCTACTTCCAAAATGGTTCGAATTAGATTTCAATACCTCTAAAGATATCTCCTATTCTCCTTAGGGGTGTGTTTGTACCCATTATTTTCAGTTTAGTAATGGTAGTTTTCCATTCTGTCATCTGGATTTCGATTTAGGTTTTCACAGCATCGAGGATCAACATCCAGGATGCTTGGCAGATGCCTCAGGTACATTCATATCTTATATTGGCAATAGCATCATTCAGTTGAATTTCAGGTGATGGCTATTTATCTGGGTTTACTGAAATTTCTATGTTTGGAAGTGATGGATGGATTCTGTGGGATCTTGAGCAAAATAAAGTTGAAACTCTGATATCATACTATTGTTTGACAAAATGGCATCTGTTACAGGGCGGGGTTGATGAGGGAGAAGAACTCCGAAATGCGGCCATGAGAGAGTTGAGGGAGGAAACAGGAGTAGTTTCAGCGGAGTTTCTTGCTGAGGTACTTGATGGCCATGTTTCTTTCTGGTTTACATTTGACTGGTGGCTTCAATTGAAGGTGTATCACAGTATCAACCTAATTTTGAAACTACTTCTATTTCAGGCACCCCACTGGCTTACTTATGATTACCCACTTTCAGTTCGAAACAGGCTTAATCGGAAATGGGGTACAAACTATAAAGGTCAAACTCAAAAGTGGTGAGTATTATCATCTCAATTAGACGTGACCTCTTCATGGATATTGGAATCCCAGCTGCTTGAAAAGTCTGATTGGTCTCTTCTATTGGACAATAACGAATCAAGTCTTTCTGTTACACTGCTCCTGTTATAAACTTTGTATCGGGGAACACTGCAGGTTTCTCTTCAAGTTTACTGGAAAGGACGAAGAGATTAACCTTTTGGGAAATGGATCTGTCGAGCCAGAATTCCAGCAGTGGACATGGATGCCACCAGAGCGAGTCATAGAAGTTGTGAGTTAACTTGATCCTTATTGTCTTCAGCATCACAAAATCATCTACATTTCGGCTGCTGTTTTGAATTACTGCTTGTACACAGCGCACAGCATTGAGAGTGTTAGTATGTTCGTCTCGTTTAACTAAAACAGGCTGTCGATTTCAAGAGGCCAGTCTACCGAGAAGTTATGCAGCTGTTTAGTCCATTTCTCCAGGCAGATGGTGATGCAGAACAGTAAGAAAGAACTTGATGGGGACGTCGACGACGTCCATGCTTGATCATGCAACGTACCAAGAGCTTGTTTTATTTTTTATTATTCTATGTAATTGTCGGTTCCTTTTCTTTATTTGCTTTGGACTTGGATTCTTGTTAGCCTTCTATTTAAAGGCTGTCGGTCTTTACGTTTGAGTCAGTTTTTCGGAATTGGAATAAAAGAAGAAAAGAGGAGTCTTTCCTCGCATATATCGTCTCTCGGGTATTCGTGGAATCAACGAGTAACGATAAACCTTCCCCCATCACACGCACGCTGCATCAGATTGGTATCCAGAGCCCGGTTGATCTGGAGGAATGCCGCCCCGCCGGACAGCGCGTCATGCGTCCGCGGAGGATGGCGACTTCGCTGATATGCGACGTGAGAACGCCGACGTTTGCCGCGACAACGACGAGCTGCGGCGCCAGGTGGAGGTTTTGACTCAGCGGTTGGATGAAGTTGTACAGATGCAACGCCAATATGATGACATTACCGTCGTCGATGAGAATCCCTTCGCTAGGTTACGGAATCAGTCCCCTGAACGCCCCAACCACCGTTGGGAGCAGGGCTTTAGGGTGGAAGTTCCCCAGTTCGATGGCAGCATGAAACCGGAAGAAGTAATCGACTGGCTGTCTCAGGCTGAGGAAATTCTGGACTTCAAGGAAGTTCCCGATGATCGGCGCGTTTCTTTGGTCACGACTCGATTATATGGGCGTGCACAAGCATGGTGGCAACAGTTGAAACTCACCAGGACTCGGCAAGGCAAGGAGAAGATTGCGAGCTGGAGCAAGTTCAGGAAGCACTTGAAGTCGGCATTCTTACCTTATAACTTTGATCGGGAGTTGTACTAGCGATTCCAAAATCTCCGCCAGGGTACTCGCACGGTAGATGAGTATTCGACGGAATTCTATTCTTTCTTGGCACGGGTCGATATTAACGAGTCTCCCCTACAACTAGTCTCCCGATATATTGGTGGATTGCGCCTACAGCTGCAGGACGTACTGAACATGTTTGATCCCGTGAACGTCGCGGAAGCTCAGCAACGGGCAACTCAGACTGAGAGGCAGCTAGCGCGACGTTGTTTTAGCAACGCCAGGCCACCAGTCGGCGCTTCCAGCAGACCCGACTCTCTACCCCCACCGGTGCGCGAAGGGAATAATCCCCCATCATGGCGAAGCGCACCCAGCAACCAGCAAGGGTGTACAGGAGTATTGCGGTGTTTCAGTTGTGGCGAAGTCGGCCATCGACAAGCAGAGTGTCGGAATCCGAAGACGGCCGCTAGTGGGCTTTTCTCTGACGAAACCACCGTGGACCCAGACCCTTTTGTGGACTCTCAACCGGTATATGACACTTATGAAGAGGCGGAAGAAGTTGTCTCGGGTGATGTGGGGCCTCTTCTCGTGCTCTGGCGATCCTGTTTGACTCCACGCCTCCTGGACCACGAGTGGTTGCGAAACAACCTCTTCCATTCCACGTGCACCATAGGCGGTAAGGTATGCACGTTCATTATCGACGCCGGCAGCTGTGAGAATGTGATAGCTGAAGTGGCAGTGTCCAAACTGGGATTGGAAGCAGAGGATCGTCCTAAGCCATACCGTCTTTCCTGGCTTAGCCAAGGTACTGACGTAACTGTGTCTAAACGGGTACTTGTGAATTTTTCGGTGGGTGCAACATATCGTGATGCTGTCTATTGTGACGTGGTCCCCATGGACGCGTGCCACCTGCTCCTCGGCCGGCCGTGGCAGTATGACAATTCAGTTATTCATGACGGGCGTGCTAATACCTATTCGTTCCTGTTCCGGGGAACCAAAATTGTGCTAATGCCGGCCAAGCCTAAGGGTGGACCTATTCCCTCTCCCAAAGTGATATCCCCAACTACTCTGTTGACTAGAGGCCCGTTCCAAGAAGCAATGAGGGAAGCTGGTATGGTTCTCGTCGTGTGTTGCACATTACAGGCGAGGGGAGCACCAACTCTTGTCCCCGAGTCTGTTCAACCCCTACTACAAGAGTTGGCCGATGTGTTCCCGGCCAACCTGCCCAGTGAGCTGCCACCATTGCGGGACATCCAGCATCACATCGACCTGGTTCCCGGTGCGGCCCTACCCAACCGTCCACACTACCGCATGAGTCCGCAATAACACGAGGAGCTCCGACGCCAGGTCGAGGACCTCTTATCCAAGGGCCACATTCGGGAGAGTCTCAGTCCTTGCGCCGTACCCGCCTTGCTCACACCAAAAAAAGACGGATCCTGGCGCATGTGCGTTGATAGCCGAGCCATCAACAAAATCACGGTTCGGTATCGGTTTCCCATTCCCCACCTCGACGATCTGCTCGATCAACTGGAGGGTGCTTCTGTGTTCAGTAAGCTTGATTTGAAGAGTGGGTATCACCAGATTCGCATAATCATGGGCGATGAATGGAAGACGGCGTTCAAAACTCGAGAGGGCTTGTTCGAATGGCTCGTTATGCCTTTCGGCCTATCCAATGCACCAAGCACATTCATGCGAGTGATGAATCAAGTTCTACGGCCATTTATTGGTAAGTGTGTTGTCGTTTATTTCGATGACATATTGATCTATAGTGCTAATGCCCAGGTTCATCTAGAGCATCTCCGTGACGTCCTAGTGGTTCTCCGTCGCGAGAAGTTTTATGCGGCCACGAATAAATGCGAATTCCTCTCTCCATCCATCCAATTCCTCTGCTACGTGGTCTCGCGAGACGGCCTCAAGGTTGATCCCAGCAAGGTTCAGGCTGTGGCACAGTGGCCACGACCATCATCGATCACGGAGGTCCGCAGTTTTCATGGGCTGGCCTCATTCTACCGGCGATTCATTCCTCATTTCAGCGGCATCATGGCTCCTTTGACGGATTGTATCCGCGGGTCTAAGTTCCAGTGGACACCAGATGCCGAGGCGGCATTCCTTGAAATCAAGCAGCGCCTAGTAGCCGCCCCTATTCTGGTTCTCCCGGATTTTGGACAACCCTTTGAGTTGCATTGCGACGCGTCTCAGACAGGGATTGGTGCGGTTCTTAGCCAAGCTGGTCGTCCCGTAGCCTACTTCAGTGAAAAGCTAGCCGGCACCAAGCTCCGCTTTAGCACGTACGATGTTGAATTCTATGCGGTAGTTCAAGCCATCAAGCATTGGCGACACTATTTATTTCACCGTGAGTTCATTTTATACACCGATCATGATTCCCTCAAGCACTTGGGCAGCCAAGACAAGATATCTCATCGCCATGCTTCGTGGGTCTCATATTTACAACAGTTTACCTTCGTCATCAAACATAAGGCCAGGGTTTCGAATCGCGTCGCGGATGCGTTGAGCCGCCGTCGTGGATTGCTGGCCGAGATGCGGGTGCAAGTCCCCTGCTTCGACTCCTTCATGGAGCTTTATGTGGATGACCCCTTTTTTTCCCAGATTTTGGATCGCATACAGCAAGGGGATCCGACGGGTTTTGTACTGGAGGATGGGTTCCTGTTCCGAGATGTCCAACTATGCGTTCCGACTTGCAGCCTCCGTCTGAAAATGCTCCAGGAAGTTCACAATGAAGGCCATGTGGGTCGAGATCGTACCTTTCAACTCCTAGCCGCATCGTACTTTTGGCCATCTATGCGAAAGGAGGTCGGTCGGTTCGTGGCGCGTTGTCGTATCTGTCAGTTGGCAAAAGGAGCTGCCACTAATGCCGGCTTATATCTTCCCCTGCCTATTCCGTTGCAGCCATGGTCCGACGTAAGTATGGATTTTGTTCTTGGCCTTCCCCGCACCCAGCGTGGCTCGGATTCTATCTTCGTCATTGTGGATCGCTTTTCCAAGATGGTTCATTTCCTGCCATGTAAGAAGACGTCGGATGCTGTGGCGGTGGCCCACCTTTATTTTCGTGACATTTATCGGCAGCATGGACTCCCTGCTTCCATCGTGTCTGATCGCGACTCTCGGTTCGTTGGTCATTTTTGGCGGAGTTTGTGGCGTATGGTCAATACGCAGTTGAACTTTAGCAGTGCCTACCATCCACAAACTGATGGCCAGACTGAGGTTGTTAATCGCTCATTGGGTAATCTTTTGCGGAGCTTAGTGGGGGATCACCCCAAAGCTTGGGATCACAAGCTTCCGCAGGCTGAATTTGCACATAATCGGGCGGTTAATCGCTCCACCGGACTGTCGCCTTTCCAGGTTGTTTACGGGCTCCTTCCTCGCGGGCCACTCGATTTACTCAGTCTTCCCAGCAAGGTCCGTAACCACGCGACGGCTGCCGAATTTGTTGAACAGCTCACCCACATCCATCGTACCACCCATGACCGGCTGGTGGCGTCTAACGCGGCCTACAAGGTTGCCGCTGACCAGCACCGGCGTGCGGTTGACTTCAAGGTGGGTGACTTCGTCTGGGCCATCCTCACCAAAGATCGGTTCCCTGCTCGTGACTACAGCAAGCTCGCCTCCAAGAAGCTTGGTCCGGTTGAGATCGTTGAGAAAATCAACCCCAATGCGTATCGCCTGCGTTTACCTGCTCACATCCGCACTTCTGATGTGTTTAATGTGAAGCACCTCATTCCCTTTTCTGAAGAATCCTCGTCCGATGACGACAATGGCGGCACCGATTCGAGGCCGAATCTTTTCGACTCAGGGGAGAATGATGGGGACGTCGACGACGTCCATGCTTGATCATGCAACGTACCAAGAGCTTGTTTTATTTTTTATTATTCTATGTAATTGTCGGTTCCTTTTCTTTATTTGCTTTGGACTTGGATTCTTGTTAGCCTTCTATTTAAAGGCTATCGGTCTTTACGTTTGAGTCAGTTTTTCGGAATTGGAATAAAAGAAGAAAAGAGGAGTCTTTCCCCGCATATATCGTCTCTCGGGTATTCGTGGAATCAACGAGTAACGATAAACCTTCCCCCATCACACGCACGCTGCATCAGAACTCCATTCTGAGCCACATCCATTGAAAAGTAGAGAAGAAATAGGAGCTGGAGGAGGTTCCGCCATCTCCAGTGTCAGTTGTACTCTGCTATGAATGTTTTGACTTCAAGTGTCGGTTTGTTTAGTTTAGAAAGAAACCAGTAGCAATTCATTGCTCTTAGCCACTTTCCGAGTTTACAACTTCGAAGGAATAAAGAACATAAACTTCTGAAATGTTAAGACAATCCAGATGATTTCTTTTTTCTTCTGTCTAATGAAGGGGTGAATGATGCACAATGACATATCGGGAAGCTTTGACACAATGCTGCTTTCTTCAGTCGCCTGCTGTAGAAATAGGATCGGCTTTGTAAAGCAAGAGTGGCTTGTTTCCAACGTAACGACAGGCCAGAGGCCTTCCAGCTGAAGTTGGAGGCGAGAATGCCAACTTAGAACGCTCAAGGATGCTGTCCTCGCAGAAACTTTTCCTGCACGAAAGCCACATTAAGCACAAACTGCAGCAAAGTATGGACATCAGAAAAGTGCAAAAAAGAAAAGGTTGCAAGTTTCCCAGGACTGTTACCTAGCAGCGTCGAGTAAATGACTGGCGATTCCTTTTCTTCTGTTTGAGGGGGTCACCCAGATTGCTCTAATGCCGCACGCAGCAGGAACAGATTTCTCTTCACAAACAACTGCGCCAGTAATCATCTCCTGAGAACTAACGGAAGGAATCTTTTTTTTAGCTGCTTCCTTTTTGAAGATGACGTTTCCAAACTTGAGAGCTCCCCCTGAGTTTAACCTTGTATCCTTTCTAATAACTCCAGAATCCGCCTTTTTATCTGTGGATGAAGAAATCATCTTGAATGCTTCTTTTATTGGTTCAGCAACCAGGCAACCAGCAATTCTGTTCGATGAAACATATAGATAGACCTGCAAAGAACAGTGAGAGGAATACAAAAAAAATAACACTTATCTCATTCTGAAATCCAGATCAAATGCGAAGTGGGATAACCGGATAACAATGCAGCAGGAATCCCCAGAAGCATAACTTCACCTTGCAGAGTTGATGAAAAATCCACCCTTCATGGAGCTCAATCTCCATCATCTTTATCACATCCTTAACCTGCCAAGGAATTTGAAACGTTCCCTTTATTTCACTGATATGAATGACAAAAGCTCTTAAACAGTGATGATAAGCTGCTGATGCCCAAATTAGCATCAAGGATAATCGGCCCCCTAATCGCATTACCTTAGTTTTATGAGGTGAAGGGTCAGAATTCAAGATCAAAATTATACGGTCCCCTCCACTGAAAGCCATGGGAATTACCCTTTCGTTCTGCCAACCCTAATTAAAACCAAAACCCGATTCAACAAACTGAATCAAACCCATAAAAGAAAAAGAAAAAAACCTGGAATTTACAACGAACTGTATCAAACCCATAAAAGAAAACCTTGAGTTTACAGGGATGGAGGTATCTTAGTTCTTACCCTAAAGGGAATACCTTGGGTGAAGTTTCTGTGAAATGATTTATGCACTTTTTCATCCTGCTCATCTCCCGCAGCGTAATGAAACCCGCAAGAGGAACAGCTCCGGAGATTAAAATCCGATTGCCCCAAATCCAAATGGAGTTGCGCATAGCTTCTCTTTTTGTTCAAAACTTTACCACTTCCCGGATTCCTCGAATCAGGTTTTGAGCAGGCTTCACCAGAGACAGACTCGTCCACAAGATCGTATCCAGATCCTCTGCCGCTTTCATTTCTCTGATCCCTGGTAGAGGGGGAAGAAAATCCGTTGCAGCGAGAAGGGATAGTCGATATGAAAAGACGATTAGGTTGATCGAATAACGAGTTGAGGAAGAAGAAGAAGAAGAAGGAAAATGGCTACCCATTACTGAATCTGGAAGCTTTGCGGCGGCTGTAAGTGGTGACATCGTCGGGAGGTGGGTCGGGAGCAGCCGGAGCGGCGGCTTTGGAAGGTGAAAACGAAGGCTTGAAGAAGGAGCTTAGTTTGGATTGCATTAATTTGGAGAAAGAAGAGAGTGTGGGGTTTGCGTGCAGAGGAATTTGGACTGCCAGTTGGGGAGGAGCTCGTCGATTCGTGCGCGCGGTGGGTTGTGAGTGGCGCGTTTATTTAAAAATATATGTTCCCAGAACTATACTTTCCCGCCTTTTTTATTTTAGGTATAAAGTACCTTCGGAAAATGGATTATAAAACAAATTATAAATAGTGTCCGGGTCAGGTCAACATATATCTCGTGCTCTCCATGCGAGTAAATAGTCCGGCAAACCAAACCGCACTAATCCGCACACTTTGTAGATATTCATATCCATAATTTGTGGATAGTGGATTGAGTGTAGATAATAAAATATTAATTTTTATGGTTAGTGGTTAACCGCTATCCACAACGATTAACTCATAAAATCCACAATAACCACATTGGTTAGTTTATTCAAAATACTTTGCAATATTAGTTTGTGAAACGTGGAAGGCTAAAAATTAAAGTAACCACCAAAATAAAATACGCTCTTATTTAATAAAACAAAATCAAGTCAATATGCAATGCTTGTGTGAGATACTTTTATCAAATAAACATTGTTCGTTGGTATATGTTTATAATTACAAAACGAAGTCAATATATGTAGTCGGATAAATTAATCGATTCGTTAAAACAGTGGAACAATTGATAAAGGTTAGTTTGATACCCAAACTCATTTCCAGTTCTCCACAAACTCATGAACAACGCAACAGCCAGCTCCCAGTAGTACAAGACTAAAATCTAGAGTGAGGAATAATCGATCCATGAAAAGAGGGCGCCTCCACTTGTCGAGCCACTTTGGTGTTTTGCCGTTGTTATCGTCGGCGGAGGCGCTACATGCAATGATGTTTGTATGATAATAGGTCACTCCACCTCTCTGTTATCTTCAAATCTCTTTACAAATCCATCTCATTTCAATTTATACTAACTAACCTATTGTATGAGATTTATAATTTATTTAACTCTAATTTTTTCATTTTTTTTTTTGTGTGAAAAGAAACACAACATCATTATTTAATTATCATATTACTATATTTAATGATGAAGTTTTTGTGGCTATCCACAACCAACCCGCAGAGGATAGTGATTATCCACTACCCATTGCGGGGCGGGTTGTGGGTAGCGTAATTCTATATTTGTGGGTGTGGTTAACCATAAAATGTGGGGCGGGTAACCACACCCACCCCAATTTCCACTCTTACGAGCACGTACAAGTTAATTAGTCGCTCACCAATATTACAGATAGTAAAGAAAGGTTTACAGACCAAAATCGAAAATCAAAAGTATCAACACTTGCAGATAGAAAAGAAAGGGCATTCATAGCCACCAAATGGGTCACCCAATTGTTTCTCCTATCAACGAGCTTCCCTTTAAACACACTATACTGCTAGCTAAGAACTCCCTTCGCATCGCCACAGAAAGTAACATTCGATACCCATCAAAGAGCACCATTGGATTGCATCTCATAACGCAACCAATTCCACTAACCAAGGATCTCGTAGCCCTGCATAAGAAAAACCATTAGCATAAAAATACTACCTATCATATTCTGCACTATCAGCTCCCGCTGCATGTGATCCCTGTCTTACCGCCCCATCTACATAACATCGCAAAAGGGCACCTTCTCCATCATTATCCTCTACACCTACATCTCCGCCAGCTTGCGGAATTGCATGCATGGGCACGCCAGCCATTCATTGACCTGGGCATCATACTGTTGAAACAATACTTCTATGATATACTGCATATGATCAAAGATCACCCAATTTCTAGATTTCCATATTCTCTACAGCAGTGCCACAAAGCAAAAGACTCCGCTCCGAACTCTCATCCTGCTCTATATATCTCCGGGGAAAAATAGCGCAAAATTGACTTGAGCTTCCTCATATACTCCCATTTCCAAACCCTCCCTAGCCAACAAACCGACTGCCATCCTACAATACAGAAACATATGTTCCATAGTTTATAAGGGTGCCCAACAATCGATCATCTCGGCTGACAATTTCCCCCCTTTTCAATTATCGTATATGTCGTAGGAAGTATACGCTGCATTACCAGTCAGACAAAAAACTTGAGCTTGGGAGCAACATGGAATCCCCATATCTTCTTCCAAAAGGTCATATCGAAGAACGACACTTCATCCTTCCACCCTGGTTGACGTAGACTCAATTGTAGTGCTAAAAGATATCCGGTATTAACCATATACTTCCCTGCCTGTTTTGTCTCCCAAATGACTCGATCCCCTACCTGCCCTCTTGGTAAAGCAATACTTTAAATTTCCTTTAACTACTTACCCCGGGAAGCACTGTTCTAGACATACGTCACACTACCACTCTGATCCTCGCTCTATCAACCCATACATTGTTTATACAATCTGGATCGACAATGGACAGGTAAGGGACAGACCGATTGCACCTACCTGACACATGACTTATTAGCTAAAAGCAAGCCAAAAAAGAAGGGATTGACTTACAAATTAAGAAAGGGAATTCGAGGAAGCGTAAGCTGTGAGACAATGTAGAATTCGGTAACACCACTTCCGAGGTCAGAGAAATGTTCGGTATCCACTTGTCCTCTGCTATCCCAACCCGCAACCCTTCACCTATCTGCCATCGCAATCCTTTAGATCCCGACCATGGAGAATACTAATCGTGCCTAACTCTGCCTAGGTGTTTGAACGCCTAATTCTCTGCCTAGCTCCTAGGCCTACGTGGAATTAGATCCTTAAACCATGAAAAAGCGTTGATTTTTGTATAATTTTTCAGCTTCAAAATTAATTTATTATTATGCTATAATAATGAACATAGGAATAAGTTCACCACCAAAAAACTTTCTTTTTTTCTATCTGAACTTTGTATTGTCATCTTAACTTATATTATGGCCGTTGTGGAGCAAGTTTTTGCCACATAGGACAACGGAAGCTCCACAATTTTCCATGTCATTTTGTCATTTTTAACATATTAAGTTATTAGTTACATTAAAATAAAACTAAATAAACATGCATATCAATCATCATCATCAGGATTTGAACCTACGACCTACGAGATCAAACTATCATCATTTAAAATGTTCAACCACCAGGATAAAGTATATTTGACGTTATTAACCACAACAAAACATGTATATCAATCACCATAACTAAGATTTAATCATGCAACCTAGAAGCTCAAACGGTAATCATTTCAATTTCTTAACCAATAGAATAAAATATCTTTCATGCAATTAATCACAACTACTTTTTAACCAATAAAATAGTTATCACCGTTACAATTGTGTATTCTATTTTTTAACATTGATAAGAAAATCATTAACATCTACAAATAAATTATTTTTAGTTTATAATATGTTTATAATTTCTTAAAACTAATTAAAAAAACTGAAACATAAATTTAGTTGGTAGACAATTATAAACTTTTACATAATTTGACATGAGATTTTCTTTTGAAATTGAAAAATGAAAAGTAAAGAATAATCTTCTTCTGCATTCTAGAACACAGAGAATTTAACATTTTGTTTGTACGAACTACTATAAATTTGTGAACCAATGTAGTTATTTTGCAATTTGTTAGAAAATACTTACTATAAATATCTGAAATATATCAACATAGTTCAGTCATATGCTACATTTATATATACACAAAATTTCATGTGTTTAAGAATATCACTAGACACCAATGGTCACCAAATTCTTTTGTATATTTTTCAAAACCGAATTATGGTTATATGGTTGAAATATGTTTGTGACCAATTGGTGAAAGAAGTTATAAAAAAGTAATGTACATATACATAATGCGTTTGTCATTTTTAGGATTGAATTTGGCATTTCTCGCATATTAAAATGATATCATTATCTTTTCTTTTATGTTATTCCAACTTCTTTCTCTTTTCATTTTCCGTACGTCATTAAATATTTTTCCATGCACAATTATAAAACACATTGTCATTACTTTTTTCCTAATGTAATTATAATTCCTTTCTTTTCTCTTTTTATTGTTTGACATAAGTTCATTTCTTTTCCCTACATGAGTGTAGATGTGCAACTTTGAGTCATATTTAGATGAATAACACCTAAGTCAAGCAAGATTTGTAAACGAATCTTAAGCTATTGGATATATGATGGTTGATATGTAAATAACTATTTTAATCCTTACTTGATGTGACACCCTAATACATATATTACTATACTATTTTTAGTAACCAGTTATACTTGCCGGATAACCTTACTCATAAGATAATGATCTATATCTTCTCCGTTACCTTTAAGAGTATAGTTCAAAATGACTTATTGTCTCTTCCATTGATCATGGCAAAACATGGAGTATTTAGTTTCCCGTCACCCACCTCTCAAACCTTACTGGCTTAACTTAACTATCAAGATACATCCGATATGCTATATCTTATTCAGTCAAATAAACATCCATTCATCACCACATGTCATATCATATTCATCATCTCAAACTCAAAGAATTCATACATCACAACATAAGGACCATAACCCAATATCTTGATAACTCACTGTTTAAACATGTATGCATCAAATATCACATCATACTGGCATTACCATGTTACCCCTGTCCCAACATAGCAAAACATCATATCATCCAATCTTAAATCATAGTATAAAACACCATAGAAAACCATCATCATCGAAATGCACATTTTATATATCACATCATAGAAAGTCATCACTTAACCACATCAGAAGTAATATTTATACAATGATTCAATCACATGCATAGTTAGATTCATTGCATTTTACATCTTAATTTGCCAAGTCATACACTCCTCGGGTAGTATAGTAAATGACATGCATACCACCACAGATCGTACCTAGACTGGTGTCCTATAAATCCATTGCGGATCATACCCTAACCGATGTCATGTATACCAGGGTGGGACGTACCCGGACCGGTGTCCTGTAAAACCAACGCAGGATCATATCATGACGATGTCCTATAAATTCAGTTACTATACTGACTGCACAACAGAGCGCTTTTATGTTTGTATTAAGTTATCACACAATTCCAGTTACAGTCACATATTAAATATTGGAGGATAATGTGAAGTGAAGACAAAGTGTCTCCATAACTAACATTTGCTTTGATATAATTCGTACAATGTTGAAGGTAAGAAGCATAGCAGAATAGTTTGGTTGTACTTTGATATAATGGTGGAAAAGGCTAGCGTACACTCGAGGTGTAATATGCACCTTCATCCATACCTATTAGTTGTATGTTAATATATTTTGACAAATAAGAATCGGTGGTTATTATTTTTCATTAAATAAATCGTACTATTTGGATTAGAGAATTAAACACTGTATTTCACCTATTAGAGAATATGGTATAACATCATGTGTCAAACTCCGTTAATTCATGGTCTAAATACCAACTCTATAGGAGTACAGTAAGGTGGCGTCCACGAGCTTAAACCACGTACAACTTATGAAGTTGACAATTGCCGGTCAATTAAAGATCTGATGGTCATGAATAATATTTTCTAAGCAGTGATGAAGTTACAGTGTTGTTTGACTTTATTGTTGATCATCATTAAAATCTAGAGTAAATGTAGCGCCCCTCATATCAGATAAATCAGTGATAATAGGTAACAATCATAAATAAATATGAAAAGTAGGAATCTGATACCATTGGAAAAATGACAAATAATAAAAAGAAAAGTACAAACAAATGAACTCTCCGCCCATCGGGCGGGCATAAAACTAGTTATACAATAGTGAGCGTCTCCATATTCGCACCACTCTTGGCTGTTACACAGATTTTTTTAACAAAATTGGATGAAGGATAATCATTAGTGCTCTGGAAAATATAAAATGCGTAATTATTAGTGCAATAAAAAAATTAAGTAGCACAAATAAATAAAACTACTGATCGAATGCGTGGCTCAAATACATCTATATTTAGTAGCTACTAACTATTACAAAATAGAAATCCCCAACCATTGAGCCAATTTTCTGTGACAGGTCCATTTGCCTCAAATGGTGAAAAGGCCATCCGATCAAATGGCTCACGGAAAGTAAAATGCGAGCCGACCATTAAGCCCCATCGTTACATTCATAACCATCGTCTTTAGCTCCTCAAAACAGCATGATCCATGAAATCAGCCAGAAGCCATGGTTTTCCATGTCAGAATCTTCGTCGAAGCTGATCTAGAAATATTAACTTTTCTCTAACTGCAATTCATAGATAGTCAAGGGGAAGTGACAGAAAGTTAAATCTTATGAATCATAAATGCATCTAAGTGCAAGAGAGTCTGAGAACTAAGAACGGTCTGACGGCCTCAAACATAATAACATTATCACGAAGACTAGATACCCACTAACCAGCAATGAATATGCAGCGTCCTATGTTGTTTGTGTCTCCTGAAACAGCGGTCGTGTAATGGTCTTAAGTTGACCAAAGGCTCTCTGCACTCTGTGCTTTCCTTCAATAGTCAAATTGAAGTCCGCCCCTGGTTCCTGGAAAAAATGAAAAAACAATAAAACCGTGTATAATATAATCAATACATGTAATTCCTTGATGAACTATCGGAACAATTTTGGTTGCAAGGAAACACTTCAACCAGAATATTTGTCAAATGAGAGGAAATTACCAGTAGAGACTGTATACTTCGAGAAATAAGGGCGATATCATCCTTGTATGAACAAATAAGTCTCCCAATCTTAGCATCTCTGTGCATTAGGAGGAGAACACCAACAATGCTCTCTATCCCACTCGAGAGCCTTAGAGCACTATCATCTTCATTGGACAACACAGATGTGCTGAGTTTATGTATCAGTGATGCCATAGTCTTCAGTACTAGCTCGAAAAGCCTGTGACTGCTATCAAACAGGAAAAAACATGGCACAAAATAATAACTGGATGCTTCAACAAATCCAGCGGCATCATTATCTTCCAAAATGTTCTGCAAAAAGAAGTTGAAATATGTGTCATTAGAAAAGGGAATCAGAAACAGGACTGAGAATTCTTGAGGAGACTAAGCCCTGGAAAAGGAGTCCATTGTTTGGTTATATGAAAAATCATGAAAGAATATAGGATCAAGGTCCTGTACTAAGAAAGCAAAACCTGTACAGAACGATAGTCTTTATAGCAAGACTACATCCATCATGGCCAAGGAGGCTTGACACAACAAGTAAAATAGTTCTTCTGCACCTTTGAATTGAAAAGATCAAACATTTCCATTTAAATTAAGAGCAGCTATTGTCGTCTTAGATTTCTCTTCAGATTCCTTTACCAAGATCTTCCTAGATTTAAGATAATACTTGTTGACTAATTGAAACTTAAGGAAGAGTATGTGAGGTTATCCCATGTCAAGATTCTTACTAAAAACAAAATAACTAACGACCCAACTAAACTAGTCTAAAGGACTGGCGATCATATTTAACGGTGCAACAGAAATTTAAAATTTTGTTTCTAAAAAGTGAAGCTTTGAGCCCCGGTAGTTGAGTTTTTTCAATCCACCCAATACCATTTGGCCGACCCATCAGAGTTTATTGGATCAAAAAGAAATTAAGAAAGCAAGTGTTCTGCAAAGAAAGTCGAGAGAAAGTGTGAAGAGGGGAGAAATTTCATACATGCACAACATCAATCAGATATCCTGCCAGATAATCACCGATGCACAGGATACTTTGTTCGGAAAGTTTTGTAGGTTTGGCATCCAGTACGACAAGCACTCTGAGCATAGCACATGCATTGTGTAGAGATGGCTTCAATGTCTGAAAAGTTTAAATGTAACATCACTGTAAGTCAGTTGACCATGGCAGTCACGATCATATACCAAACGGAACTGGAAAAAAGGTTTGGGTTTATTTTCTCAGTTACCATTTGCTCCAGTATCACCCTCTCCACAATAAGGAACACAAGAGACTTGTCCCCTATCCGTGACAGGCATGCTGATATATCACTGGTCATGGACTTAAAAGTTCCATGATTACATATACTTGCATCAGTCTCCTTTGTGGGATAACTAATACTTTCTGCTGTTAAAGAACATCGCCATAAGTATATTTCTCATAAATAATAATATCGACAAAATTATGTTAGCAAAGGAGAGAGGTACGCCAAATTTACCGGGAGATGGTTTAAAACGGCATATCAAAGTCATGAGGAAGCTAACATGGTCACTTATTTGAATATGCCCAGCACAATAAGAAGAATGCAAAACCTCGATAACTCGACGTAGCATGAATTCATCCAACTCATGGCCTGCACATGTGTGTGTGAGAGAAGTTACCATTAGTCAAGTGTCTTGCACTTTCCAGCTAGGCACAGAATGGATAAATTACCCAAACCGGAGAAACAGTGGCAGCAGGTAAAACTAAAAGAAGGCTCCAACAGAAGCACTTACATAGGCAACATGAAGCTAAGGACCTAAGCAGATCCAACTCCAAGTGTGAGAAATAATACAAACAATAAACAGAGAGTTCTTGACAATCTCTCGGCAGCCTTACAAAAGGTCCAAGACAGGTGTTTCCTGGGCAAGCACAACACCTAAGATTAGTATCTTCACAACTTAGCTTTTCCATCCTGCTGTATAACACTTCCAGTAAATATGTATATTACCTTCTTCTGAGTGTATGCTGTAGAACTTTTTCAGCGAGTTCTGCATACGATCGTACTCCGAGGCAAGAAAAGCATTCACCGATGAATACTGACCCAACCGAAGTATAAGACGCAACACAGCCTGAACAAAGTTCAAAACGAGAAAGTTTAGCAACCACTGTTCTGAATATGGTAGCTGTAAGTGAATAGGACATGAAGAGGAGTGAAAAAAGAGAATGCAACTAAAAATCGACTACCTGGGAAGATGTAGGGTGCTTATCGCCCAGCTGAATTAACAATTGAGGAAGCTCTCTCATCCAACTAATCTGACAGTCCAAACTCCCTGAACCACTATTGAAGTACCACTGATCTTCTTTCTAAGAATCCCAGAGAAACAGACAGAGAAAGGGAGTAACAAAGATAGAGAAAATCAATCAGTCACCAGAAATAAATAAATCAAAGCAAGCTTCCAAAACATGTCTGGGGGTTCAGCTTACACACAGATAATAGCATTTCTTCAATAACTGCAAGGCAGGCCAATTTTATTTTAGAATCTGCACTGCACTCCAGGAATGTATTTGTAAATGCCTGCAACAAAATATTCATTTTTCCAAAGTGTCAAAATATAGTGCTGAAAATAGAACAAACAGCTGCCCAAGAAAAAACAGGACAATAGAAATCTACAGATGAGCAAGAGCAACACAAGAGGTATCTCTCCCCTAAACAAATCCATGCTCTCTAACCATCGACTTCAAGGATCAAAGGTGGGGGTTCTTAACACCAAGCTAAAGCCCACTTGTCGCAGATGTGAGAGTAGACAAACAATATGATAGAAACCCGGTCTTCATACCCGGTCTCATTTTCATTATTAGGTTTGTTATTAAGATATTTATTAAGATTAATAGTATTCGAATAGTAATAGGTTTTTCACGTCTTTTCTATAAATATGTACTTTGGGTATTCATTCATAATCTCAATTCTATTCTTCAATCCCTGTTATAAATCTAATTCCCGAATTACACAACCAACCAGAGAACGCTCTAGATCACTGGGTTTCTACCACAATATCATGCAACTATATTTGACCACAGAGAACTTCATCTCTCCAATTACTAAAACAACAAGTCCAACCTGAAGAAAGCGATCCTTCCAGTCCTCTGCCACTGCTGATATAAGCTTCGGAAGAAAAGGAATAAGCAGAAGAAGATGTTTTTCCCCAACACTTTTGCCAGACTCGGCATCACTGATCTGCAGAGCATTCATAGGACGAGCATTATCCCTTAAGATCCACCTCAATGCACTATACTACAGTATAGTCAGGAAAAACATGGAAAAGCAAATAGCAGAAATAATGCATGAATAGAGTGACTAATTGGCCCCTGAGGTAAGTGGTCGAGCAACAGCCACTCACATTGGCAGCTTGGGAGATAGCAAGTTATAAATTATTAGTCAGTTTTGTGAATTTAGAAATTACAAACCCACAACAACAACAACAAAACAAGGAAATAGTGCACATCTTAGGGGCCAATTTCTTTCTACCCTATTCAGGAAAAAACGACAATAACTATGCAAGTTGCACAGCAAGTAATGTATGGAACTGCAGCATGTTGCAGAAACCCTTCCCCCAAAAAGTCATATATATGCAAATGAATGATATTCCATGCACCGGGCAGGACTGAGGCACCATAACAATTCTACAGAGCAGCAAGAAAGGAAAAAGTACCGAGTGAGATCTCAAATATTAAGATGTGTGTTGCTTTATCAGGGGAGGGGGGGGTGGGGGGGGGGGGGGGGGGGGGTATAATTACAGGATATGAATCTATGATCTAACCTTCAGGACATATTCCACAAATGCAAGAAACTTGAAGGATAAGTCAGCAGAAGGCGTCATCCACTCGCTTGTGCAGAGGTATATCTCTGTAATCAAAGTGTTCAAGATGAAATACCTATCACCATCCTACAGCAAAATCAATGAAGGAATAGATTATCAAAATCATCAAACCAGAAACTACTATAAACATTCTCAGAACAGTCGACTCCTCATAAAAGGAAAAGGCCTGATTAAGAAAGGTAAGACAAACCATCTTTAAAATGATTAAACACAGCAGTAAATGATTGTCATGATATTCAAATTTACTCATTGCAATTGACACCTTCTGGACCTTGTTATCCTTATAATTTTTTAATTTGCACAATCAGACAGACTGCAAGACAGAGCATGACAATGATTAGTCGATACCTTCTCTGAGAGGTCGCGTATTGATTTGAGTGGAAACAAACGTAGTAACTGCTTCAATAGTATTGACGAGATACTATTATCCCACACAGACATTTCATGCCTTCCATCAAAGCGCTGTGATTCCAGTTTATCCTTGCGAATCCCATAAATAAAGAACCTGACAGCAAGACCTATGCTCTGAAGGATGCTATGCATGCAGTCAAATGATTGTGCATCTAGCTGGGATGTGCCTTGAATTGATGGAGTAAAGTCTTGAAAGCAATTGAGCAATACTGGTAAAAGTTCCTTTAGCATTTTGTTGATGATAGAGAACTCTGATAAAACAAACAAGAAGGTAGATTAGTACTTATATACTCATGAAATAACATGGGCATGGATGGCCAGGTGTTGTTTAGAACTTCGCTATTAACATATTCCATGCCCCAAAAAGGGAAAATGGTAGCTCTTCCAAAACTTTAGTAGCAATATCGTCAATTAGATTGTCATCGCATTACATAACCACCAGAAATACAATAATCGTGTCATCATCCTCTCCCTCGCTATTCTGAAAAGAAACCTACCACAAGTAGAGATAGTTAACACCAACACTTACCAACAGATTCAGTAGGTTTATCTGGTTCAAAAGCATGGAGAACTTCTTCGCGAAGAGCATCCTATAGGATTGGAGGGAAACCATCAGAATCAATAATAAAAACAGAATTAACTTAAAAGGCCAACACATTACAAATGAGCATAGCAACAGCAAACAATAACATCCAATGCATAAAGAGCACAACGTCATTCTTTCACTCCTTTTTTCATCTTTAACACTTGAATACTGATCTACGGTTTGAACTGAGCATGGATTGGATGTCCTCAACCACCCTTGCAGCTATGACAACCCAATGTTAATTTACTATTTGTTCAGGGACGTCATCAATGCACATGGCAGTTAACAAGCTGAAGGATAGAACTGCATCTTAGATATAGAATTTAGTTGTAGATATGCTAATCTTTTGGATGCGCATCGTAAAACAGCACCAAATAACAAGAACAGAAACTGTATCTTAAATAATAAGCACTTCAATCAGAATCAACTTGAGAGTTGCGTGATCCTAACTCAATCAATACCTTCCATGCTATACTAGGCAATGAAAACAAGAAAAAGTCTATAAATGGACGACTAAGTTGGAAGGTACAACGAGATAAAATTTGGGGGGTATGTTATAGAGACAACCTATACGATTATCAAGAAAACAACTATAAGTAGATTTTCAATGACTCAAAGGGGGCACCTGTTCAGATGTATCAACTTCTTTTTTATCAGATGGCAACAGTGACAAGCAGCATACTAACCCAGCAAGAACATTCCTGAGCTTGCCTTTGTCTTGCACATAGAACTGGTTACTCTTCAGAATATATTCATAGTTTTGTAGGATCTGACCAAAAAATGTTTTGTAGAAGCTGTAAGAAATGAAACAGTCACATAATTCATACGAAAAAATGGTGACTGATAAACTAGCTGCTTACCCTCACAACAAAAACATGTATTTCTGTAAAACAGCCTAGAACTACGTTTACATCTATGAAAACCAAGCAAACTTGCAAAGCGAAAAAGCTAAGAAGAGAAGCAACACGAGTTCTAAAAAGTAACAAATGAACAGATACACAGAAAAAAAGTCTGACCATACTATTGATATAAAGCTCGTTACCATGCATCTGTTAGATTTGTTAAGAACCTGACATCGCTTTTTATTTGAAAGTCATCTAGCACACCGATAAATCAGAGATTGAACCAACTAGATCGAAAACCTTGACCAGCCTTCGGCAAGCACATGGAAGCTTGACATCCACAAATAAGAGGAAACTCAAACTCCAACAATATTCCCAAAAAGGAGACCACAAATGGCTGAATTCAAGAACATACTTTACCTTTTCAGCATGCATAAAAAAAGAGGCTGGATAATACTGCACAATGAGATCTAAGAACTTGAAAGACATCAGTCGGACATCAATCGCCAAATGTGCCATTGCATTGAAAATGTAAACCATCATCATAGATATGATGGGTCCCTGATTATCCTGGATAAGGAAAGAGAGAATCAAATCAGCCATCTCAAGACAAATACTTGCGCAGAATACTCTAGTAAGATACCAGAGAACTTCAAGCGTTTCTAACTATGAACTTTTTATTGTTTAATTGATGATCTAAATAATAAAAGGCGCACTCATTACTTGTCCCTGTGCTCTCAGTGAGAAAACAACACAGTTACACATACACTGAACTTTATGCAATATTTTCCATTGCTTGTCATATATTTAAGGATTTCACGCAAGAATGAGGCAAAGCACCAATTACCTCCTTGCAAGCAGGCAATACAACTGACTTGAGTAGAAGGTAGAGGTTTTCTCGGACCATTTTATCATCATCACTGATGCGTTCACGCAACTTTTCTATCACAGCATATCTGTGTGACCTCAGTTCCTCCGGGTACTTAAGGAACAAATCTCTCATTCCCATTAATGCATCTACACGAAGTATTTAAGTCAATAACACCATACTTGACTTTGCATGAAACTCGATATGCCAGCAATGAAAAAGTCAATATGCCACACAGAAATATTAAACATAATCACCATACCAACTACCTATTTTCTGGATAGGAAAAAGAACAAGAAAGAAGCAAGATAAGAACCACAGGAATGGCACGTCTAATGAGGGAGTGGTGTAGCATGGAATTTGCAGGTTTTGCTAGCCAATGCTGATGACGAGCAAGTGAAGTAATTTTGATAATTACAGGAATGAGAAAAATCCGCCCTATGCATACACATACACAGCTTTTGCATTCCACATGCAGTGACGTTTTCAGCATTTTCAAGGAAGGAAGTAGTCCATCAAGGTATTAAGGTTTCTAATTTGTCAAGAAATCTGTAAGATAACAAGCAAGCAACCAATGACAGAACTCACTATTATTTCCTTATAAGCTACTGATGGGTTATAACGAATAAGAGTTGGTGGTGTGTGAGTTATCCAGGAAGATATTTTGTTCAGAAACAATAGCCGTCGACTACAAATATAATATTAAGCAATAACCTAAATATTTCCCAAAATCCTTTGACCCTCAGATGGAAGCTTTCATTTTACACTAGACCGAAACATACAAACCTTTACGAACTCTGGCATTGTGATGGGATGTTTGTTGAAGGAGCTCTTTCAAGGTCAAACCTTTCTTGCTGACAGCCAAACCCACTTTATCAGATGCCACGCTCTGCTCAGGAAGAACAATTGCTAATAGTGACCATCAAATGATCAGTATCATTCAACAACAAAAAAAAAATTATCAGTATCAGCACATAACAAAGTGGAACATTTCAACATAAACAGCAATGCCGTTCATGATGCTAATATTCAACCTTTCGATTTAACTTCAGTGTTGGTGGTATTCTTAGGTGGAGGCAACCTCCTCCCTATCTTCCTTTTAATTTTCTGCGCGGAGAAACAACAGAAATCCCAGCTTAAACCACACCAATTCAACAGTTTAGGCACTATGCCAATGCATCAATGTCTGGATGATCAGAAATCTCAAACCTTGAAGTCGACACCGCGCTTTTGCTGCTTCTTATTAGTAGAAGCTGCTCTATTTTTTGGCATTGTACCTGTAAGGAAAAACAAAAAGTTAAAACACACGCTTTGGCCTCTGGACTGCAAACTACAAAGAGACCCAGAGAGCCATTTCACAAAAAAAAAAAGAAACAGAGCACTGCAGGAGTGAGAGACGCTGAACGAGTAGCTCTTTTGCTTGTTACGCCAACGAAAGGAGGACGACAAGACTCAATAAAAGAAAAAAACTTCAGTTCTTTCACCGAGTGAAACTGAAAGCGAGAAGGGTTCCACGGGGAGAGAAGTAAGACCTGTTTTACGGCCGCCGTCGATGAGAGCTTTGTATAGAAGACGGAACCTCCCTTCAGATAAAACGAAAGACCAGAGAACCAATTCAACGCCCGGTCGGCTGTCGACGTGTGTTTTGCAGCCGGCGGTCGGGCTTCCCCAGTTCCCCTTTCTTTTCCGCTCCCCGTTTGAGAATTTCAGGTGACTTACGAAGTACGAAGTAGGGTTTGCTACTCTTCTTCTGGCGTCATATCTTTTAAAAAATATGACTTGGTCCTTGTACTTTTAGTAACTTACAGCTCAGTCCTTCTAATACCCAAACCAATCCAGCGGGTTTCACTTTCAATTCATGTCCGGAGATTCAATCGAGTGCTTTCGATCGATTCTTTTAAGCGGTGGCGGAAATCACGACTTCCGTAGCTTGCTTACCTCGGCCTAAAAAGTAAAAACTGACCTTGATTTCTTGGTGGTGGTTGTGCACATTGCCTTCTAGGGTAATTTCGCCATGGATGTGAAACCCAATTTCCCAATGCAATTCCAGCAGCAGCTTCCGCAGCTACAACAGCAATCGGAGCCTCAAGCCGCAGCAACGCCAAGTACAAGCGCCAATCAGCCGGCGGAGGCGCCGCCGAAGCAGGTGGCGATGGCCGTGGACAGGCTAGCCCAGGCTGCGCGACTAATTGCTGATGTGAGGATCGGCGCTGACCGGCTCCTGGAGGCGTTGTTCTTCGCCGCCCAGTCTCACCAGAGCGACAAGACCTTGCAGTTTTTGCTCAAGGAAGATGCTAGCATGCGCCAGCACCTCCAGGACCTGCGCACTGTTGGTATGTGTATCGTCTGTCGTTTCCATTCGCTCCTGCAGAAATTGTAGCCAGGGTTAAGTTCATATTTTCTTGCTTGATTTTGCTAGGAAGGCAGCTAGAGGAAACTGGGGTTCTCAACGATTCCATGAAATCTAGGGGTAACTCTTGGGGTTTGCATATACCATTAGTGTGCCCAGATGGCGCAGTTGTTGCTTATGCGTGGAAACGTCAACTAGCTGGGCAGGCTGGTGCATCTGCCGTGGACAGAACCAGGTTTGTATTGGAATTACTGACTTTGATGGCAATTGCTGCTTCAAATTTGGGCTGGATATTCCAGTGCAATATTGCTGCTTGATATGATGAAGGTCTCGGATTAGGGTTGTGGAAAAGATGACTCTTAAATTTGGTGTCTGACTGGCTAAATCAATCATGGCATCATCACCAGTATTGTCTGTGTGTAGGGTTTAATTTAAGTGGTAAATGTGCATTTCAGGTTAGCTCTGAAGGCATTCTCGGATCAGAAAAGGAGATTTTTTCCACGCTTTGATGATGAATCGGAAGATCAAAGTACAGAGCCAGATTCTAAGAAACCTTGCAGGCCTCAGGCACCGTTAACGAGTCAGCTAGACGAACTTGGAGACTTCAAATCTCTCGCTGATGTTCTAGCTCGTGTGGAAAAGGAAGTCCCCAACGTCAAAGTTCTTATGTACGAACGCCGCGATTGGTTGAAACGAGCTTCTTCTTTACCGAGTTCAGGAAATGAGAAGTTAATTGAATCATCTAAAGAGCATAGTTTTCACAGTTTAAATAAAATGCGAGCAGGACCACAGAGTGCAGGTGCCTCTGGAAGGACTTCTGTTATTGAAATATCGTTTCCTTGTACCTTGAGAGCTGTAGTATCGTTGCATCCTGCCGGTTCCATTAATCCAGATGCAGTTGCATTCTTTTCCCCGGATGAGGTAAGTCCTGTTAACCAGTTGAATCACTCGTTTGTTCTAGTTGTCGGGTTAAGTTATGGGCCCTCGTTTAGCAGACATTCTGCACCTTGCATCGTCTCGTACTATTTGTTCTAGAAAAGCATAGAGATGTGAGGGTGATACACAGTAGTTTGGAAGCCCAGATAGGTTTTGTAATTATATTGTCAAGCTTCAATCATGCTACCTGATTATTCCTTGAGGCTCTTGCTTCATTCTTTATCAACTTGAACTTTTCTAACTCCACGTTGTTGGGGATTATTTGCCTTTTGCCAGGGAGGCAGCTACATGCATGCCAGAGGTTCTTCCATCTATCATGTCTTTAGACACATCACGGTAACAGCCTCTATTTCAGACATGTTTGAGAAATTACATAAGCCAACTTTCTGAGACATGGTATCTTATCTTCCCAAGTTGAGACCCCAAATGTGTTATCGCCTTATGCAGGAGCATGCCGGTATAGCTCTGCAGCATTTTCTTGGAGTCAGGAGCGAAACTGCCTTATACTTTCTTCTGGTACTATCATAGATATCCGAACTCAACTTTGGTTCTTCCTTGTTCATAGTCGACGTTCTAATTTCTATTGCCATTTGTTTCCCGCCTGCTTGTTTCTTTTGTTTCTGAAGAACTGGATATGCAGCTACCAGACATTATTTTCCAAAGTTTGCGGGTGCGTATCTCCTCCTCTTATGATCACTAGCTTTTGTAAAAAATGATGTGGATTATGGAAATCTTAACTTGGTGCATGCAGTAAATGTGGGAAGCTATTATCAATGGATCGAAAAACATCGACAATACTACCTCCAGTCCGTCGTTCTTTCCGACAATTCTACCCTGTTAGAGAATCGCCAGCTGAAACCACTTCATCAACCAAGGACCAAGTTTTCGAGATCCCGGGAGCTTATCATATCGGATGCTATACGGACGAGTTGTAGTTTCGATTAGGTATTATACTAGGACCAATGCAAATGTTCATTTCATACCCTGATCCTCCTATCTTCTTTCCTTGGGATTTAGTCATTTTGACCACGAGGACAAATGTGCATCTTCTACTTCTAATTCCAATAGTTTGCTAGGCAATGTTCAAACAAACCATCAGCTGCGGAAAAGTCCACTTGCTGATTTGGAGCCCTTGACCGTGTTCACAGTGAAGCTCGAAATAAAAGGAATTTTAATCTATTGCTTTGGGTTTTTACTCCCCACTTATATCTCTAATTTGCTAAGGGATAACGGCGTTTAATTTTAACAAAAAAAAAAACGGTGTTTAATCTCATGGCAAAGAGATAATGATAGTGGGCCTCATGGGTGGGCCGTCTGGTTGCGTAAGTAATTGTGGCTGATTCTTGGGCTGGTAGGTTTTATTGCTGGAAGAGTATAAATGGGTCGCTGAGTTTATTGTGGGTAGCTACGCCACGGGCCCGCCAAGTGCATAAGGTTTTATTTCGTTTTTATTTTCCTTCCATTCTTTTGTGTGAGTGATCCTTATGCAATGGCGGAGTTAAGGTTGAAGTAAGTAGGGCTACAAATGAGTTGATCTATTTATGAGACATTCTATATTTGGTTTGAATAAATCTCATTTGAAATTGAAACTCGATTTGTTTACTAAATTTTTGTTGAGCTTGCAATGTTAGTTAGTCAGCTCGATTGGGTGGCTAATTGAACTCAATTTGAGCTCAAGAGATGTTTTAACATTGTGGCTAGTGATCCAACTCAACTATCGAGTTATGAGCAAATCAATCTATATGTTATGAGTTGGCTTGTTAATAATTTATAGGTTTATTAAATTATATATTTCAGCTCATATGATATTTAAAACTTTGAGTATGTTAGCAAACATGTCTCATTAATTATTTAAAATAGAAATTATGCATCATACCTTACTTTATATACTAATTACTAGGAAATAATGTGATATGAATTAGTTAAAGTTTATTAACTAAACAATATGATACTAATAAGCTAGACTGGGGTTCAACTCGATCCAACTCGTTCATAAACGAGTCGGGCTTGAACTTGACTCGTTTATTATCGAGTCGAGCCTATGTTACGCAAAACTCGACTTAATTCATTGTTGAAGCTAGGAGTGATTATAGCCCTTTCGACTTTGATATATCAGTGAATTACGTGTAAAATTTGAACAGATTTAAGAAATCAAGTATTCATTAAGGCTTTAACCCTCTCTCCAATTATTATGGTTCAAATTTGCCTCCCTCTTTAGACTTCTTACTTCGCCACTTAGTTGTTGTATTTAGTGTGCTTACCTCCCAGAACTTCTCTCACTCGGTATAAAAGTGAATCATCATGTTTCTTTCTTACTTCCTGCTCATCACAACCAGAGGTGGCAATATGAGTTTTAAGGACAAATATGGTCTTTTAACTTCATGGAAAACGTAAATACCTGTAACTCAGAGGATTATAATTTTGTGTTTGGTGTTTAGTAACACTAACTTATGAATAGTTAAACTTATATTTTTAATTTAAATTTTATGTATTTGTTCATAATTATTCGATACGAGTTTCTAATAAAACTTGACCAATTTTCGAGATACTTCTTTTGAATAGTTGGATGGTCCAAATTCTTATCAAAATGTGCCTCATTGGCTAAAAAAGCACTGCATAAAATAACTAAAAAAAGCTTGTTTAACAAAGAAAAAAATGGTAACCACGACTTTGGTCCTCTTGTTTTTTTTTTCTTCTTTTTGACAAAAGATAATCTTATATTGATTCGAACAAAAGATAGCTACATCCTGGAATTCAGCCAGGCCTGAAAATTAAAGAAACGACTCATAGTCGGGTACAATAAGAGGGCCTTTTTAGCCACCATATGGGCTACCCTATTACTACGCCGACTTACAAAGCGAACACTAAATCCCGTGTTGATGGCTAAGTACTGCACAAGCTCTTCAAGAATGACCCCCATCCGGTTATCCCTTGTATCAGCCCGATTAATCTTCTCAATGATCACCTAAGCATCCCCTTCAACCTCAATGCCCATTGGATCATCAATTACCGGGAACTAGATTCCTTTAGCCAAAAGGACCTCCCTATTGGGGGTCAAAATAATCATCCCTCCTGCCGAATGAGACCCACTCCTGGTAGCCTCATCCCACATACAAACAGCCATACTTTGGTCCTCTTGTAGATTATTATTCATTTGATGTTTTTTCTCTAGGTGCTCTCCACATTTTGACCACCCTTATATCCCTCACGCAAATCAAACCTAAAATGCATCATAAAATCCATTTTAGCCCCCATCCCCTTTAGCTAGGGATGGCAATGGTAGGGTCAGGTGCGGGTTTACCCTATATCAACTCCTAACCCGCCGGGTAGAGCTTTCTAAAATACCCGACCAAATAACCACCGGGTATGAAAATTATATAACCATACCCTACCCACCGGGTAATCACGGGTATTCGGGTAACCATGGGTACGAATCCTAAAATATGAACTTATACACATATATGCACATACATATTGTTGTCCATTTAAAATTCTCAATACTTGTAACTGTTCTGGCTTCAACAATCCACACAAATTAAAACACCAAACACATAATAATTGTTCTTGCTTCTACAATCCACACAAACATAATAATCGTCTACATCTTCATCATCAATAATGGTAGCTACACTCAATTTCTCAAGCTAAAATAAATTTCTCAAGGAAATTGAACCTTTGGTTAGCGGGGCGGGTATTATCGATTACCATACCCGTATCCTACCCTTTATTTTGAAACCGGGTATTACGCGTACCCGCCCCTTAACCCGTCAAAGCAGATAATTACCCTCGTTGACCGGTTACGGTCAGATAGGGTACCCATGGTTACGGGTTGGATTGACATCCCTACCTTTAGCCCATGGTTGTTGGTCAGCATTAGCCCTTAGGCGATCCTCAATCCAAAGACTAAAAACTTAGGACTTAAAAGGCTAAAAAGACCTTTTACCCTCCTAATAAACATAAACATCTGCAGATTGGAGGCTATAATTTTTTTTTTTTGTAGCAGACTATAATTTTCTCTTTAGTGTCGAGTAATTCTAATTAATGAATAGTCAAACTGATTTCTTTAATTTAAATTTTATATATTTGTTCATTAGAATTCTATACAAATATTTCAATAAAATTTGAGTCATATTCGAGATATTTTTATAGCTGAAATAATTTGCTAATAACTTTAATTGATAGTTCGTTATTTTGATTTCATTGTTTTATAGTCATTAGAACTTAAATTGTATTGTTTATGTAATTATTTATCTTCAAATAGCAAAGGAATGGTCGAGATTTTCACAAAAATGGATTTCATTGGCTAAAAAATACCACATAAGTCATAAAATAATTAAACAAAATGAAAAAAGCAGTCCCCACAACTTTGTGTCTTTGACCCTCTTTGTATATCATTGGTTGCTTTTTTTGTTTGTAGGTGGTTTCCACAACTTTGGCTCCGCTTTAAATCTATTGGGTGGATTGCATTTTCACATAACAAAGTGTTGTTTCTTATTTACAGTATAGAATATGCACCATATTTTCTAACCACACTATACACTGAATGTCGCCTTCTAAAAGTGGGATGCAAATTATAAAATACTAATTATATCAAAGTAATAAAATGCGTTTGTTTTCTTTACACAATTGGTTGGAGTGATGGAAAATTTTGAGGCAAATATAAGGATCCGCATGAGACAGTGAGAAGTGTTCAAATTGATACCGTCTTACTAATTTGTAATGAACTTATTATAAATGTTAGTCAACTTTCCTAATATCTACTTGAAGAAATGCTTTTGCGAGTTTACCCATAACCCAATTGCATTCATCTATCACTCACCCAACCGAAATAAAAGAAAAATATGAGTAGATAACCGATCGCACTAATACCAACTCATTAATAAATGGGTTATAGGTATAATATGCCCCTCTACTATGACGTTTTATCAAACATGCCTCTCTACTATTTTTTACATGAAACATGCCCTTGTACTTTGTAAAAATGATCAAACATGCCCTTTTGTTAAAATTTTCATCCAAAAACCGTTAACTAAGATCGAACTTTAGTTTGGGCGACACAAATGACTAAAATATCCCTGAAAATTTCAATTTATAATTTTTTAGTTCTTTTGTATAATCAATTCATTCAAAATAATTTCACTTTGAAAAGACCCAGAGAAATAAAACAGGGGACAAAACTGACATTTTTTCTCCCATTTGTCGATGTCGGGTCGTCTAAATCTCGGTTCAACCATAATTGACGATTTTTTCAATGGAAATTTTAACAGAAGGGCATGTTTGATAATTTTTTCAAAGTACAGGGGCATATTTGATGTAAAAAATAGTAAAGGGGCATGTTTGATAAAACGTCATAATAGAGGGGCATATTATGCCTATAACCCATTAATAAATTAGTGCGCCAATTTGATACCAAAACCAACCCTTACCCACATATTATGTACCCCTATCAAAAGTCACAAAGCACAAACATCACAATCGGTTAAAAAAAAAAGTAAATATCCCAAAATTGAGCTACCCAAAGTCTAAACTTGGTCAAAATTGAGAAAGTTACGCGTGAAGTTGACTAAAATGGATTACCCGCCTTTTGTTGCATAATACTTCCACGCTAGCTAGCCGGACCTAAATCGAAGAAACGGGAAGCAAAACCGGCGGGAAAAGAAAGCACAGGTCGAAAAACGGAAAGATCTCGTGTAATTTTCCGGCCAACTGTCCAGACCCCGACGGCCACATGTCTTCTCTCCAAAATTCTGAAGTGGGATCTCCATAATTGATTCGTGCCTCCTGCCCAGAAAAAAAAAACAGAGTGGGAAAACATCCCTGTCAAACTCGTGCCTTCTTCTGTCTTCCCGTCTGCTCTGCTTAAGCAGCTAAACCTTCCATTTTCATTACATCATTCATTGATAATGCCAATAATTCCCATCTGGACGATTTGTCCTATAAGCATGCTCCAGATTGATTGATGACCCACCTAATCCACCACAGCATGAATCAGCAGTCAGCGCCAAACAAAGCTTCTGTCGCCTTCCTCCCATGTCTGTCTCTGTCCTGCTCCTTCCACAGAGGAACGAAGGGAAGCGAACAATGACAAACAATAGCCTTTCCTCTAGGATATCCTCACTATGTAGCAAATGAGTCGAGTCGAGCCGAATCGAGTTAAATTTTGATCTAGTTTGAGTTTG